ATAAATAAATAAATAAATAAAATATACAACAAAAACTGTATATCGCATAGTTTCTGGTTCTCTCTAGTGGCCAGTTTTGGTAACACACCTTGGAAACAGATATTTCTGGAGCTTTATATGTAATATTTTCAGGCAGCAGATAAATAAAATTGCGGATAATGATCCCATGGATATGGTGGCCCTACTGTAGTTCTAAGAGGCAAGGCTTCTTGGTGGAGGCATTGCTGTCAACAGTGACAGTCTCGTTGAGTGTGAAAGTTGCCAGTTGGCCTAGAGCAAATGGTATAAATTTTGAATCAAGTCATAAATGTATGAGTTAAAATAGCATGTACTCTTTTGCTTTTTTGAATGTCTCCTGTATACAGAAAGGAATACAGAAGTATCCTTTTCAGAGAGGGATGTGAATTCTTAATGCTTTGTTGAAAAAATTTAAATTAACCAGGTTGGCATAGGAGCAAAAAAATTTTTAAAAGACCTTTTTACATTTTGTATTGTATTGTTTTGTGTTTAGAGCTCTACTTGGCAGTGCTGCATTTTTAACCATATAATTGGGATACTTGTGCCCTCAGGCGTATACCCTCAATGTTTGAGCATCTGAGTTTTAATTAACAGTGTTTTGCTGTTTTATTAGCTGTGGCTCTTGAAGGATCATTATAGCTGGTTTAATTAATTTGGCTTCACAATAGTTTTATGAAAGAGCTCAGAGTATAGTGCACATACCTTAAATACTAATACAATGAATGGTGGGAGACTCTTCAACTAGACCAAGTTCCCACAGGATGTCTGTTTGTCACAGAGCAAACAATGTACATGATTTGCCATTGGATACATCCCAGGAGCTAAGTCACTGAACCGTTGCTCTTGCAGGCAGTATGCCGTACTTAGTCTTTGAACATCATATTCAAGACTTACCCACTAATGACTCAATCATACGGAGTCATATCTCAGCCTCAGCTCTTAATATCTGAATGACAACTGCTTTGAAAGAGAAATCCTATATACTAAAAGGAGACTGGCGAAAGATATGCAGGTTGTTTGGGTGACAACTCCTAGCATTCCTCAGACACCTATGCCATCCAAAAACACAAACTTGCACCCTTCTCAGACTGGCTCTCCACATGCCAGTCTCCATATGAACAAAGCCCTCACCATAAGATGGAGACAGTGCTTAGGGACAGGTTCCAGAAGCACAGAAAAAAAAACCATAGGAGAGGGGGCCGAGAGAACAAAAGTACTCCAAACAGTCCAATGAAGACTTGATGTGTTGTTTGGGTGGGGAGTTCAGACTGTCTCTTCTTCTTAGGAAAGAAAAATTAGGAAATAAAATGTTTTGTGGGTTTTCTTTTTTTTTCTTTTTTCTTTTTTGGCTTTCTTAAGAAAAGGAAAGGTAGGTGAAATAGGAGCAGGGAAAAGAAATGGTGGAATGCCATGTAGACACGGGCACTTCTTATTTCTATCTAGGGGTGAGAAATATGACCCACAACACCACGGGTGCTGCAGTGACCCCATTCCCACCTCCAGAACTGGCTGGCCCACTCACTGGGCTCTGCGCAGCACTTGGGCCCTTCTTAGGTGGTGGTACACCAATCCCAGCAAGAGCCTGGCTGGTCCTTCGCCACCTCCCCACACAGACGGCCACTACAGTGCAGAGATGGTATGGGGAGTATTTGTAGATATGAACATGAAGTGCCAGTGTCTAAACCGTATCGTGAAAGAAAGAAGCCGCAGCAGAGGATAGGCCACATTGCAGTATTTTATCGCAGTACCTGTTTTAAGAACTATAAAGCACAGCAATACTGTGCTACAAAGCACATGTACTGCTGTCAAAGTCCATTTTTGCTCCTTTAGTCCCAATTCCTCTTTGCTATTTCATGCAGTTAGCAACCCCAATGTTCATCTTGTTCTGCCTCTTGTGCAAGGGGATATTTTCTTCTCCCTTGTCCATGTGTAAGCCCTGTCCTTTTCAACCGGGCAGTCTGTGGTTTGTCTAGCTGAAAGTCAAAGACTGCTTGACTAACCATGAAGTTCTTCTTTGTGGCCTCTGTGAATCACACCCTGGGTGATCTGTGCCTGCGCAGAGCCTCATTGGAAGGTTCTAGAGCTTCTGAGGTAGCAAAAAACACATTAGAATAAGGCCCCTCCCCCTCGTATAAGTACCTTGGCACCAAGGCTCCCCTTTCAGTTTCTTTCAACCACTGCATTTAGAGCCTCATAGTTCTGCTTCTGTGAGTAAAAGAGAGAGTTTATTCTTGATTCCTTCCTGTTATTAATCTTTTTTTCCTTTACACTTTTAGATCAAATTCATTATCATCCAAGATTTTTTCTTTTCTACTTCGCTCGGCCTCCGGCCGCAGCACCCCCCATCATGATTTTTTCTCCTCAAATTATTTTCTTCTATTCATGGCCTCTTTGGACCCCTTTAAACACTGTGTGGTCTGTGACAACAAAATACCACTCTCCAACAGCCACGCCAAGTGTCTTTTTTGCTTGGGAGAAGCACACCAGATGTCCTCCTTACAGAATTGTAAGAACTTCAAGTGCGGAGTCCTCCGTTCTTGCTTATCCAGATTAAAACTCCATCTTCAACCAACCAAAATGGCCCAACCTCCTTGTAAGGCCACCTCACAAACCAAAGCAATGGAGAAGGCTCTTTCTGAAGCCTCAAAATAACGTCCATCGACCACACCATCCCACTCCAACACTCCATCCACTTTGTCTGAAACTTCAAAAACCCATAAATCAAAGCTCTCAGTGCCAAAATCCTCAATATCAAAGCCCTCCACTAAACATCAAATGTCCACCGAAGCCTCTTGTTTCCGGAGCCTTCTCCACCTAAAAGACCTAAACAGCATAAATCTAAAGCTGCAATCATTTCTCAGCAGCCTCAATAAACCACCGAATCAATCTCTATTGGTTCACCTTCTGACAATGACGGAATCCCCTCTTATCAACCCTGCTCCCACTAGATGCACTGGAAAGGGATGACAGAGTTGATCGATTAACATCTTCTCCTCCCAGTCCTCAACACTCAGTTCTTTCGAGCAACCCTTCCGTAGTTGCTTCACCTGACAGGGTCAACAACTAGAGACCATATCTTATTCGGTAACATCTGATCGTCCACCGCCTCAGAGACATCGGCCCCAACAGTCCCTGGAGCCATCTATTTCATCACGTGTGGCTCAGACCCATGTTCAGCACTCTCATCGGGTTGCCATTTGCCCCAACCAGTGCCCCAATGGACAAACCACAACCGCCAATCAGCCAGTTGCTCTATCCAGCTCGGCCATGCCTTCTCATGGCAGGCCTCGATCTCGACAGCCATCGGTGTTGAAATGGCCATTATCACCGTGACCCACATGAACTCCAGTCTGCTCCCTACCTGGCACCTAAAAGACCCAGGACGGTCGAGCAATTTTCTTCTACGCACGAGGCTTTTACAGCTCCAGCCTCCCGATATTTTCCTGCTAATCTAGATGAGGGAAATCATTCCTCTCGCTCAGCATCTCCAGCATCTGTATACTCCACTGCTTTACCAGCTCATCAACAACCTCCGTTTCGACATCACCAAGACACAAGCTCTGATATTGATATCCTCGATATCCATCCTGGTCCATGGGCAGTCGTTCTTTCCCTCTATTGATGCACAATTTCCATTGCCTAATAGAACCAAGCCATTGAACTCGACATCTCTATGACCCCAAGTTCGACACCGACATTCAGCCATATCAAACGATATCCATGGACACTAGGATGACAGCTCTCGATATCGAAAATCCTTGACACTGACAAATGGACACTCTGCCTCCATCGACATCGAGCCACAAATGTCAATACTATGGCAAACTATCGACACCAAAGTCAATCAACAATCCGTTGACTCCTAACGCAATCCCAATTATTCTGAGCACAGATCCAGACCTCAGACACATCAGTATTACTTACCTCACTGTCATGAGTTCAGCCAAAGATCTGGAACCTGAGAGGTTAACTACAGCTGAGGAGAATGCTGAGTGATTAGAAGCACAGACAGCTGAATCACCACCAGATTCTCCTCCCCCAGTAGCCAGGGTAAGGGCCAAACTTCGGCAAAAACTTATGACGCAAAGGTCAGAGGATCGCCTGAATGCTGCCCGCAGAAACATCAGATCAGCTAGCCCTGAGTATTGACAGAATGAAAGGCTTTCAGCAATTCAATGACTGTTTTACTATATAAGCAGCTCCCAAACGGCTGGGAAGCTTGTGGAAGCAACAAGTTAATTCCTCTGGCTCGCATCCACGCTCCTGCTCATCTTGGACCTTGTCTTCAGGACCCTCGGCTTTGTACTCTGACTTCTGACTACGGTTTGTGTTTTGGCTCTGGCATTTTGGTATCTGTTTTGCATCTAGTGGACTTTTGGCATTTGACTGGTCTATAGGACTGCCTGTTAAAACCCCTGGGAACGTGACACTCATCAGAATCCAACCTTGTCGATGCCGACCCACCAGCACTGGCAGAAGATTTCCAAACTTACACCCAACCTATGATCTGTATGGCTAAGTCTCTCAATCTCCAAATCCACCGTCCTTCAACAGAACTGGCCAATCATCTATACGACCCAATCTATATTCTCTAAAGATACAACTCCAGTACACATCTCGATGCTTCCATCTCTGCTCAGCACTGCTCAACGATCCTGGACAAAACCAGCCTTTTCCCATACCATGTCTAAATAAATCGATAACCTCTGCAGAGTCCATGATCCTGGAGCTCTATTTCTTCAAAAACAAGCAGCTCCAAACTCTATTTTTGTTGAAGCCTCCCAATCAACATTGACAAACCCTCATTTATTCATCAGCAGCATTCATGATGCATGTTCTTACTACCAGGGAGCATATCAACATTTCCTTTGGGACAATATGTCAACCTTTGTTGAATCTTTACCAGGAGATAAAGTATTTGCCCAAACCTTTCAACAAGAAGATCTTTCTCTTGCCAAACAAACAGATGCTTTCTGCTAGGCACATGGTCAACTTCAGTAGCCTTACAATGTTTCTCTTGGCTAAGGACAGCTGGCCAGGCTGAGGATGCCCGTGCACATATCGAAGTCCTTCCATTCAACGGGGCAGGCCTCTAATGCTGAAACTGATAGTATTTTGGAAAACGTGCAAAAGAAAAGATCAGAAGCTAGATGTTGGGGAGTTTATCCATCTTACCAACAACGCCCCCAACAAAATCAATGGAGATGACCGTACAACTCATATCAAAAATTCCAATGTGATCCTTCAAAACAAACTTCTTATACATCCTATTTCAAAAATCAAAGAAATAAACTCCACCAACAATCTATTACTAGGCACAATGACCGCAAGCGCAAACATCACATTTGATGCTGCCATGACCAAGTTTGCACACCACTGCACCCATCCTGCCCTCTGGAAACAGCTACCTGTCTGGGAATCCATCATTACAGACGCCTGGGTTCTGTCCATCATCCGCAATGGCCACATTTAATATTTACTCCCTTTTGCAGAAATAATCAAGCAATCTGGAAAATTCTAATTCTAAGAAAAGTATCAGCTATCTTTGATCAAGTTGTTTAAGAAAAATATTAGAGAAAATTAAAGTAGATTATTTATAAAGCAATCTTAACTTACACTATGGATGTTCTTGTTGTGTACCTCAACAGAACAAATAGGTTACATATGATGGTGAAGCTTAACCAATAATTTGACTGTGACAAAAATGAGTTCTTTTATGAATCCAGGTTAAAAGGGTTTATTCTTTTAGCCTTTGTTGCTAGGTCATAAAAGTGCAATCGGATAACTAACAGATCCACTCAATTCTCTCCTTGTCACTAAGAAGGAAAAAAGGCAATACTGCGATTTTAAGATAAACAGTCTTCTCCTTTGTTTTCATGCTTTTAAACCCTCAACAACTGTGACGTCATGATAAGCCACAGTTTATCATAATGGGAGCAGTGATCCTCAATTTAGTATTGCATCCAAATTTTGTTAACTGTGTTTAGTCTTTACTATGGCTTGTTTCAATCTGTTTGTAGCTACTATTAAGGAAAGTTTATGGTTAGTAAAAAAATAAGAACAGAGTTCCCGGTCTTTCTTCTCATGCCCACACCGGAGGAGGAAGGGAGCCTATGAACCTGAGGTGATCTGTAGTGAGACAGGCAGCGTTTTACAGAACATTTGTTTTGGCAACTTCTCTGCCATAGAATACTTTGGGATTTTACGTTTATTCTTACAAACCAGTTGTTGTTTTCTTCAGTCCTCAGGCACCACCTCCCCCTGAGCCAACGTGGGAAGAAAGGCAAACGAGCATTATTCATCTAGCAGGCGAGGACTTCAGGGAATCTTTGAAGAAAAAGAGGCACGCCCTCGTCATGTTCTATGCCCCATGTGAGTGGATGCTTGTCTCTTTCCATGGCTAGCGATCACCCGTCCGATAGACTACACAGGCATTCTCAATGAGGGCCCATAATTTCAGTTATTTGAAATAATTCTTTAAACACCCTCTTATAAGGTTTGTCATTCCACTTGTACAGTCCTGAGTCGGCCTATATTTCTTTCATACTGTGTTTATGGCCATGGTCCAAAAAAGGTTGAAAGTGGCTATATTAGAGACCAGCAGAATGTGAAATTGCACCAAACTAGGCATGAGTGCATTTTGTTAAGCGAGTGTCCTTAGCTCACTGGCAGAAGACATGCCTCACTGCAGGTCCTGGATTCAGTATCTGCCATTTCGCGTAGCAAGATTGGGACAAATCACCTTCCTGAGAACCCTTGACACCTAGTGACTTTCACAGCATGACATTCCATGCCAAATGGCCCAGAGGCATTATTCAGTGTAAGGCAGCTTTTTAAAATGATGGCTGTTGTAATTTTTGTTGTTGTGTTTTTAAATGGCTTTTAACTCATATTCCATGTTTCTTTCCATGCAATAATTTATTTAATGGCTTTTTGATACTGTAATTTACTGTTCTTTTAAAACTATATCTGTTTTTTAAAAAAACATATTTCAATAGCCTTGGGTTGTGGAAGGGAGAAAAGTCTCATGTTATTTAAATACTGATAAATAAATATTCCTTCTGAGCATGTCTGTGTTTCAGGCATAGCATTTATCCTAAATGTACATTCAAAGGGAAAACTTTAAAATGTCTGTATTTTTAAGAAAAATGTCATGAGTGACGCATATGAAACAGACATTTGGAACAGAAGTAGTTTTGAGTGGTGAGAAATTGAAGTTGCGTGAATTTCTAAAGGCACCTTGTTAATCTGTTACAACCAAAATAGCAGAATCTTGTGGCACCTTAGAGACTGCAAAATTTATTACAGCATGAGCTTCTATCGCTACCAGTGTGCATACTGCATATTCTTTTCAAGACAAGTTCGGTGCTCTTGATCACCTTAACATCTGTTATCAAGAGAAATGGAAATGACTAGAAAGCAGGAGAAAGTTCATCTTTGTACTATGGATGAATGCTGTTTATTTGAGCAATCTAAGAAAGTATAATATGGCATGGAGGTGAGAAGAGGAAAATCTTTGCTAAAAGGATTCAGTATTGAGGAAAGATTTTTCTTTAAAAATTTATAAAGTTGTGTCATTTCCTAAATGTTAAACAGAAATCTGAGACATAAAAGGCAGTAATTAAAGATAACAAACATCTTTAAAAAATTCAAAAGTAGTGATTCTGAGAGGGCAAAAATGAAGGACATTGAAGTGTAACAGCCTGTTTTCAGCTACTTTTGAGGTAAAATAGTGGTGGTGGGGTTTTTTTGTTTTGTTTAATTTGTATTTTAGAAATGTATAGGAGGGCAGCTGCAAAAAGCAATTATGCAGAAAATCTAAAGAAACACCATTCCTGTTTCCTAGGCTCATTAACCTGCTTGTCATTTCAGAAATTCTTTCTTTCCCACCCCATATCTTATCCAGAACACATATTTCATTTGTTTTGCAATACAATAATAAACTTCTCTCTACAAGTGTGAAGCTCTCTCACCCCGCGATTCTGAGTTAAATTTTTAGATTAGTATTTTCAGAAATCCGCTTAAATTCAGGGCTTGTGAATAAAATGTTCCTGCAAAACTATTGACAAATGTTAGTGTGGATGCCTTTCTGGAATCTTTGACCAGCCCTAATCTTGGACTGGGCAAGCCTAAATGCTCGTGGTTTTGTTGAAATATAAATTTATGTTAGCTATGCTCCATGTACTCTGGTTTAATTACATGCCGATGGTCCTGTGAATATCTTTTTCCTGAAGACTATCCCTCTCATAAACCAGTTAATAAAAAAAATACTCCTGTGAACATCTTAAATCCAGTAAGACTGTTTTGAAGAAGAAGATACATCAACAGGCTTAACCGTGAATAAATGGGTCATCATAATTAAAGACTGAAGAAGGTACTTCTTTTGGTTGGATATGTTTCCCCATACCTTTGAGATAAAGAACTTGACTTCTGATCCACATTTAGTAATGGCATACTTTTAATTAAGAGCCACGAGGAATCCTATGATTAATGTATTGACTCTTGTCATTGTGATATTATAATTTCCTGTGGAGAAGAGGTTCCGCATCTTTCAACCTTATTTCTGATAACTGTGAGGGAGCATGCGGTCCTTTTGATATATAGTGCACTCACATGCACAAGCCTCTGCTTAATCAAGCACTGTAGGAAACAGCTACTGCATATTTTAAATCTCTGCTTGCAGTGAGATAATTATTAGGGAAACGGAACAAGTACAAATCATGGTGTATTGAAAATGTTCCCCTTTCGGAACTGCTAATGCGCTTTCTGTTAAATTTGATCGATTATCTTTGTTTATCACTTTCTCAATCATGGGACCTCTCAGGGTTTTTATGCCTACCAATTACCACTAACTTGCTTATTTTAGTGCAGGAGGAGAACCACTAAGATTGCCACGCTGTTCTAGTTCAAATAATTTTCTTCCTCTATTCTAAGCCACATCCCAGGGTCAGAAAAACTCCTCAGCGAAAACACATTTTCACTGTGTTTTGCAAGCACACACATTTTGCATGATTAGGGTTTGTTTGTTTTGGATCTGGACAGTTTGGTTTGGGTCCTTCATGCTTTTTAAAGCGTTCAGTGATGTTAGGATAAGAAGCTGCAAAGATGTTACTGGTGTATTGCTAGAAAATCCTACGTAGGAGCAGTTCCTGAAGTCTTCTGTCACATGTGGAACCCTGTGGCGGTGGCTGAAATCTAGCAGTAAGTCACAACTAAAATAGTCCATTAAATTAGTGGGGATTTGGTAAGTCAATACTCATGTAAGTTCCATTGATTCAATTGGGCCTACTCTAGTGGCTTACTAGTGGATTGTAGACAAAATGTTGCACTGTGGAGACCTTACCTCCTGCCTTAATTTCCATCTCTCCTGCCTTGATTGCTTCCCCCACCCCACCCCAACAATTTATTCTTTTCCCATTTACCCTGCCCATTGGGCTGCTTGGATGTTTGTTTTTCAAAGCATTGGGGGGGGCAGAATGGAGTGAGCATGTAACCCAACCCAACTATCTTGTCCCCCATTTAACTTATGTATGCATTTCTAGGGACATTTTAAAAATAGCTTCTTGGTTTAAACTAGAAAATCACCAGTTTCTGAGGAGCTCTGAAGTATGCTGGGAGACATGAGGCAGTGTTAAACTAAAGGGGGGGGGGTCACTTAGTCCATATTCGACCTACCCTTGATCTTGAGTGTGAGTGTTCCATGTTTGTTTGTTAGCCTTCCATGTTTGTTTGTCAGTTTGTTCTTTGATTTCACCCAAGAAAAGGGATCAAGGCAGCATGCAACATATTTAACGGGCAGGTGCAGCTAGATATACAACAAATGTATATCTGTTTTAATGTTTTAAAACATTGTCACATTGCTGAATTGGGGAAGCAATTTTTAAAAATTGTTAAAAGCACATTAAAAGAAGATTAAAAAGTACAACATCCCTCATTAAAAACCCTTCTCTGGAGGCCATTCTCTTTATCGAATTTGCTAGAACTAAAAATCGTTGTAAGCCGCCCAGAGACCTTTGGG